ACTAGATTCTTATTCAGAGAGTTCAAAAACAAAGGCACAGTTTTATAGCGGGGACAATGATGAAGAAAATAGTCCTGGAGCAACTCAAGGTAATTGAAGATGAGGATCCTACAAAGAAAGAGACCCAAAATCAGGGTAGCTTTTAATTTCCAAAGCATTATTGGTGATTGAAACTTTTTTCTTGCTGCACTTCATGACCACTAGTGATGTTTCGATGTGAACCAAAAATTTCTGTTTAACTCTTGTGGTGGAAGAATGTCATACAATCTCATATACAGGTGCTAGTCTTCTACATGAGAAGTTGAAAATAAGTGTTTGCTGGTAGTACCGCACTCTTCACAGGATCCAGTCACACGAATCCAACAATTTGACAACTGCTTCTCCCAGAAATTGCAACCGTAACAGCTTGTAAGCTGTTGCTTCATTTCTGAGACACATGGGAAGAATTAAGAGAGAGGAAAAACATGCTCCAAATAAGAACATTGGCATACCATTGGCGTTGATTAGGGAATTTTAATCTGAGTGATCTGAAGAAAATGCAGTTTGCCAGATGTGGGGTTTTTTTAATTTGAAAAAGCTGAGGGAGAGCAAGTGTTTGGAGAAGAATTGCATTTTCCTGGAGCTGATCAAAATGCTCTCTTAGTTATTGCCTGGTCTCAGAGAGATCAACGGCCAAAGGTACGAGCAGTTTTGGACCTCAGCTGCCATAACCCCGACTGTCTGCTGTGCTATGTCTTTAATTTTATTTTCTATTGTTTTTCTTATATTAAGGTTTTTTATTATTTAAAAGTAAATGAAAAGCTTTTCTTTTCTTTACTTGCTTTGAGCTGCTCATCAAGAAGGCAATTATTCCAAATAAGATCTCTTTTTCTTACTCAGATTGAATATTGAGTACTAGGTAAAAAGTGAAATAGGAGTGCTTTGATTGACTTTTAATTTCATATATGTATTATTTGTGTCTCCATGTGTCTATATATACAATATAAAGCAGTGAAAACTAATATTCTCTGAGGGATGGCTTCCAGTTCAGTACAGACCACAGAGCTAGCTGCCCCTGAGGAATTAGAGAGCTGGCTACTCACAGAACTGAGTTCGATGGATGGACTATTCAATGAATAAGGAACTGGCTGGATGGCCACATCCAAAGAGTTGCAGTCAACAGCTCAATGTCCAAATGGAGATCAGTAACAAGTGGTGTCCCTCAGGGGTCCGTACTGGGACCAGTACTGTTCAATACCCTTACTAATGACATAGACAGTGGGATCGAGTGCACCCTCAGCAAGGTTGCAGATGACACCAAGCTGAGTGGTGCAGTTGATATGCCTGAGGGAAGGGATGCCATCCAGAGGGACCTTGAGAGGTTTGAGAAATGGGCAAATATGAACCTCACCTCATGAAGTTCAACAAGGCCAAGTGCAAGGTCCTGCACCTGGGTTGGGACAATTGCCAGGATCAGTACAGGCTGGGGGATGAATGGATTGAGAGCTGCCCTGTGGAGACGGACTTGGGGGTACTGGTGGGTGACAAATTGGACACAAGCCGGCAATGTGCGCTTGCAGCCCAGAAAGCCAATCACATCCTGGGCTGCATAAAAAGAAGCGTGGACAGCAGGTCAAGGGAGGAGATTCTGCCCCTCTACTCCACTCTGGTGAGACCCCACCTGGAGTACTGCATCCAGCTCTGGAGTTCCCAGTACAAAAGACCTGTTAGAGTGGCTCCGGAGGAGGGCCACAAAAATGATCAGAGGGCTGGAACACCTCTCCTATGAAGAAAGGCTGAGAGGGTTGGAGTCATTCAGCCTGGAGAAGAGAAGCAGAACCACAGATATTTTTCTCCAAAGGTTTGGCCTAAGTTTGTAGCCACATGTCCATGGGCAAATGGCCAATGGTGGCTACTTAGCAAGACCATTTCAGAGAAATTTAACAGAAGGTGGTTAAAGCAATGAAAAGACGAGGAAGCAAGTGCTACACAGAGATAAACAAGGAGTAATTTTTCATTGTGCAAGTACGAAATGCAATGGGGAAGCTCACTCTGAAACAAACCCTGTCACTAACTGCCTCCTTCTCCAGATCTTTTTCCCCCCTGCTGTCCCTCCTCCATGTTGATTTCCACTTTCTACTTCTTACAGCAATGTATAACAATTATTGGAGCTATATTGTTGTTGTCTGGAATACCCTAGAGTCCTCAGGAGGATTCTTATCGTTCATTATCATCATGATAATGTCAGTATTACAGGCCCTTATCGCTGGATCATCAGCTACTGCTCTCTCTAGTGGAAGATCTCTCCCTGTTACAGTTAATATCTGTACTGTTCCAGAGGTCTCTTCACTGCCTGGAAATACCCTGGAAGATGGTTATGATGATGTGACAGAAGCTCCTGGACCTAAAGATGCTTCTCCTTCTGAGCAGAATGAACAGGAAATCATTGGGATCCCTGAGGAAAGTGACAGAAACAAGGATTCACAGACAGGTGAGGCCAGAAGAGCATTGCTGTTAGTTTTCATAATTCATAGTTACTGTACTGAACTCAGGGAAAATCAAGGTGGAGGGTACCTCAAGGGGTCACCTAGGTTTTATCTAACCACTGTCAGGAAGGAACACTACCTACCTACATGAAGAGTGTAGGTTAGATATTTGTTATTCTGTTCTTACAGCCATTCAGTAGCAGTGTTTCCACAGCCTCTGCAGGTAATCTATACCCACGCTCTGTTTTCCTTACAGCTATAAAATTCTTGCCTGTGGCCTAACCTAAGTCTTCACTGCTGAAAATTAAAATTGTTACTTCTTACTATAATGACCGTGGGGATAGAGGAGTTGCATTCACCTTTGTAACAGCCTTTTAAGTACTTGAAGACTGTTAACATATCTCCCCTCAGTTCTGTTTTGTATTTTGTTTCTCTAGACTGCAGCAACCTAAATTAGTCAATTTTCTACTTAGGTCTTGTTGACTAGACCTCTGCTCATTCTGTATGTCTCCACCCAGGCTGTGTCAGTAGGTCCATATCTTTCAAAAAGTGTTTCAAAACCAAAATTTTACAGTATTTCTGCACCGCATGGTACTAAAATTTTACTAGTGTCAGGTAGAGCAGAAGGACCACTTCATATGTCTTACAGGATATCCTTCTGTTTATGCATGCCAGTGTGATGTCTCCCTTTTTTGCAACAGCATGACACTCCTGACAGTGTTCAATGTCTGGCCTGATGCAACTCCAAATCCTGCTCTGTAAAATACCACATACCATTAGACACCGATCTTTCTAATTATGCAGTTGATTGTTTCTCCCTTCATCTGTAGTCTTGTAAGTGTCCTTATTAGATTTCATTCTATTTTCATCAAAACTTTGCCAAGATCATTTGAATTCCAATACAGCATGGTTTCATCTCAAAAACTTAATAAGAACATGTGTATTTTGTCTTAGGACTCAATAAAAATACTTAGTTGCATGTAGGGCTGTCAAAGAATCTTACTTGGTACAGTGAGCTACACTAAGAATACCATTTTTTACTTAATTTGTACCCAGTCTGCAGCGGTTTGAGTTAGACCATATTTCTCTAGTTTACTTATAAAAATATCATGTGAGGTGAGTGACAATTTGCTCTATTCCCTTATGAAAGCACTTTTAGATAATCAGAAAGAAAAATCAGATTTCTCTGGTGTGATTTATTTTTTATAAATCCATGTTATCTGTTATCAACCTGCTTTTTTTCTTCTGTCTCCTTGCAAGTAGTTTATTTGTTCTGACATTTTTCTGAAGTTGAACTTTCTGTAACTCCTAATCTTGCTTCTTCTCCCACACACACCACCTTAAAAATAAGCATATGTTGTTCATATTTCCCCAGTCCTTCAGAGCTTGTTCTCTGTGAGTTCTTAAAGACAGTGGATAGTGGCTGGAGGATAGATTCAGCCAGGTTTTTATCCTAGCACTAAATCTTGTCAGGCCCATCTAATTCAAAAAGAATTAAGAAAAAAGATTTAGGAGATAATTCTCTTTCTCCATGCACTTAGTATAACTGTGGAACACCTTCAGATCAGCAGCTGAACTCCACCTTTTGGGGCAGTGATAAAAATATTTGACAGACTGAAGGCATGAAAAAATAATCAAAATATTTTAGGACTTAACATGATTAGAGAAACATTAGAGAATTTTTTTTAACAGCCCATGATTATATTCATTTTAACATTATATATAAAGTTGTATACATTTCTAGCTTACTTAAACAAATGTTCAGTGTCTTTGTGAACCTCACTTGCTGTTGACTTCATACAAAGCTGCTGAGTTGTATTGACAACCTTTGCTGTTCACAAAAACTGTGTATAGTTAAGGTGCATTCATCTCTCTCATCATTTCTTTGTCTTCTTGTTGTGGTTTAACCCAGGAGGCAGCTAAACACCACACAGCCATTCGCTCACTCCCCCCCAGTGGGATGGGGGAAAGAATCAGAAAAAAGGTAAAACTCGTAGGTTGAGATAAAGACAATTTAATAGGACAGAAAAGAAAGGGAAAATAATAATAATCATAAAAGAATATATAAAACAAGTTATGCACAATGCAATTGCTTACCACCTGCTGAATGACACTCAGCCGGTTCCTGAGCAGCGGCTGTGCCCCCCCAGCCAACTACCCCCAGTTTTTTTGTTCTGCATGACGTCGTATGGTATGGAATATCCCTTTGGCCAGTTTGGACCAGCTGTCCTGGCTGTGTCCCCTCCCAGCTTCTTGTGCACCTCCAGCATCCTCACTGGGGGGCAGTATGAGAAGCTGAAAAGTCCTTGACTTAGTGTAAGCGCTGCTCAGCAACAACTAAAACATCAGTGTTACAGTGAAACAACATTATTCTCATCCTAAATCCAAAACACCGTACTATACCAACTACTAGGAAGAAAATTGACTCTATTCCAGCCAAAACCAGGACACTTCTAAAAATCAGAAGCTACTAGGAGTTGCTAAATCTGGTCGTTTGATGGAGGTTCCATGTCCCTACGTCCAGCCAGTAGTGAGGCTGAGCATGTGTAGGCATGCACACACATGCACACACATGTAATACATATATGCAGATAGACAAGGCTGGCTTGTAGAGCCAACACAGACAGAAAACATAGCACTCAAACACAAGCAGCACCAATGGCCTCATTCTGTTCCTCTCTCTGGCTGACCAAGATGAAAGCCGATTGGTGGAAAATGTGTATGTACACAAACAATATGGATCCCTCCAGTAGTTGGCCTTAGACACTTAGTCTATCCAGTAGCTGCCCCTGGATCCTAGGTCTCTCAAGTTGCTGTCACCTGCATGTACTAACCCTGGAGGCCCAAAGACCCACTCCAGTTTCTGGTAATCAGACCTACATACACACACACACACGCGCGCGCGCGCGCACACTATACTTCCACCAGTAACTGGCCTTAGACATTCAGTCTATCCAGTAACTGGTCCTGGAACCCCCTGGCTTTCAGTTACTTGACACACCCACATGCACATTAATACCCATACATATGCACAACACATCCCCCAGTAACTGGGCTTAGACATGCAGTTGGCCAAGTAACTAGCCCCTGGATTCCCTAACCTCCCCCAGTTGCTGGTGTCTGAGCATGTGAGCCCCTGACACCCAGAGTCCCAGCCCAGTTGGTGGTACTTAGAGGTCTAGCCACCCCAGTCTCTCCAGCTGCTGGCACCACAGATGCACAGACCCCTCTGACCCGTGGTCCAGCTCTGGTTGCTGGCACTTAGATCTCCATACACACATACACACAGAATAGAGAGCCCCCTTACTAGGGAAAACAGTCAGAAATGGAGTTTAATAAGAAGACAGGACAGATGTTGCTGATCAGATGCAGGGCATGGCCAAACGCATACTGGCCAGCAACCTGTTTACATGCCACCAGCCCTTTTTATCCCCTTATCATTCTATTTTCTCATATTTGTTCCTCCCCAAACTACATCGATCCCTCCTTCTCTGTGCTTTGTTTCCTCCCCTAAGCAGCCCATAGTAAGTTTTCTATGACCCAAGATCCTCTTCCCCTGTACCTCATAATAAGTCTCATATCTTTGTGGGCAACAACACCCCTCAGTTAGTGAAGTGGGTTACATCCTCTTAATGGGTTTCAAACATAGACAATGGGCTGAGCCCTCTCCTGTGATAGCTCTGGGAGGAGCCAGATCAGGGCACACTTGTGGGATGGACAAGGACAGATCTCCTAAATTTGCAGTGTGTCAGATAACACCTGAGGCAGTAAAACAGAGTTGGGTTATTTAGGGATATTGAAGAATTGCCTTTATTAGAAGTGTTTAAAGTTAGATCAGGAGCCTGTTTTCTGGGAACATTAAGCTTGATCCTTGGATAAGCGTACATGTAGCAGGAGGCAGGATGAGACAAGGTCTTTCACAGCCATGCATATCTATGGTTCTAATTTCTGGAGAAGACAATGGACAGCCCGTGCTGCCAGCTGTACAACCATGTAAAGGTAATACGTACAGGATGTGCATTTATCTCAGTGTTCCTCCCTTCATGTTTTCAGACCGGAGTCCTAATGTGTCAGGAAACAGGACCTCCAAGGCTGAGAGAGATTCATCCCCTGCTCTTGAAGATACAGACTATGATGACACTGAAGAGCTGGGACCACTGATAGAGGCTGCTGAGCTGTACTGACCACTTTTGGAAATACACCTCTGTTCATAAAATGCTAATCGGGTACTAGTAGAACCAGAACAACCTGCATTTAGGATTAGTTTACCTAAGTTTGGTTTATTTGCAGAGAAGCGATTACATACTTAGAAGAAATACAAGCATAACTGTTAAGAAAATCTTTCTTATTTGCCTTATAATTTCTGGGCACTGCCTGGGCAGTTTTTGCTTTTTACTTCAAATATTTTCATTGTAATTTTTTTTTCTACTGAGTTAATTTTTCAACTTATGATCTTTTCTTATTAGAAACTGTAAAGATATCTTCTCAAATTTATGCTTCTCCTCACAGATACACAGGCAGCTTTCTGGAGATTATTAGGAATGGAGACTGAACTGCAAGAAAATCATCGAAGTTCTGTTTCATCTTTTGGATATTCTTGCTTGTCACACAGAATGTGAGGACTAGAATTAATTTTCTAGATAGTGCTTTGTGAGATGAGAAACTCAGCAAGAGATCATTCTTGTCCTCACTTTAGATGCAGGTCTGTCATTTGAATTATGTACAAGTGAATCACACATTTGATTGGAGGGAAAAGCTTCTCTTCTCTTTTCTCCCTCTATACCATCATGACTTATTGTCTCCCAAAGTCATAACCAATTATACAGTAAAAGGAAGTTTAATTTCTTTCCACAAATGGCAAGTGGTGGTCATTTGTACAGGTGTCTGTCATGTCATTTCTTTTAATCATATGAAGGCAGACTGAAAAAGTTCGCATGTTGATGGAATAGAGGGTGAAGTATTGTTGTCTTGGATCCTAATGAAATTTCTTTCAGATCCTGAAACAAAAAGCCTTCCTTGCATTCTGTCATCTCTCTTGGACTCCATTTATCCCTCAAAATCTGAGCCCTCCCCTTCTAATAGGCACTCCTTCTCCACCCAAGAAAGCTGCTAATTTATTCAAAAATGTGAAGGAATTTTTTAATGAACCTTATTCAGATCAACTAAGTATGTCAAAAGAAAAAGGTCTGAAACTTCAACATGTATATGATTTTTTGGATCAGGGGATAAATGTAGTGGAAATGCAGGCTGTTGAGAATTTGCCTAGAGCACGCCAGTGTAACGATGTGTCTAGAAGAAATACCTGTGAGAGTCACCATAATCTAGATGAGACTCTCATTTGTAAATAAAAACAACAGTTGTTCTAACCATCATGATACATAAAGAAATGTGAGTTTGTCCCAAACAGCTGAGAAGACACACAGACAAGCAAATCCTTTCCCAAACGATCTCACTAACCTCTTTAGCCCAGCATCAGGACACCCTACAACCCTGTGCCAAGGACTGAGGCAGAAGAGGTTGCGCTTCCTTGTATTCAGTGAGTATCCTGGCAAATCTACGTTTCCCTGGATGTCTCCCTCTCAGCACTGAATGGAGCTTCCTGTGGAATATTGTGAGAGCACAGGAGTACTCTGTACTACTATGATTCTGTGATGCATAGGATGTTTCTATCTGTGTAACTTTATCCTTTCTGAGCTAGACTGGAAGTAGTGAGGAAGAAATTCAAAAGGAAAGACAAATCTGGCAAAGACAAGGCACTTTGTTAAAAGAGATCCTAAGGGAAAGCAACCACCTTGACATCTAGCTCTAGGCAAGAGTGGTTTACTTCCCTGGTTAAACCTAGGATCACAGGAGGACATAAAGCCATTGCAGCAGCCAAGTCTTTGAGAAAGGAATTATTCCTGATTGCTTCTCCAGCAGCATCAGCAAGACCTGACAGGCATGCTACAGGCATGCTGTGAGACACAAAAGGAGGGAAACACATACATCCATGTAATTTAACTGCATCATGCTATCTGCTTTTCCTGGCTCACCAATAGAAAAACTAGGAAAGCGGAAATAGTCAGTGTTTGCAAGGAATAGGAAAAGGCAGCAGCAACTGACAGGGGCAACCAATTCTATGCCAGAAATACGTGTAGCAGACTATTTATTCCTGTCAGAATTATCTATACAGGACAAGGCTTCCCCTCCCTGGGTGCACCGGGCTGGGCTCCAGCAACCAGGAAGGAGGAATCCCCTGGCCTTAGAGATGGCAGCAACTGATGTCATTGGCATGATCCAGTTGGGCTGAGTACTCCCCAGGTGATCGTATATAAGGGTATATAATCCTCAATGTGGCAAGTGGACTGATGTTGGAAATGTGCCCACAATGTTAAAATTTGTAACCAAACTTCTATAGCATTATGACTGCACATGAATGGGACCTGCCCAAGGAAATTTTTAAGATAATTGGAGTAATCAGATTGAAAGCATATTAACAGAACACAAGAATAATATGAGTGGCTTAACTGTGGGATCTATCAGGCAAAATTTCTACCCTGAGGGATCAAAACATGCTTACAGAAGTATGTATAAGACCTCCTATAAGTAACAGATCACTTCAAATTATTAAATCAGAAACAATATTGGCTACTGAGCAGGATGAAAACCAAAAGAATCAGACTAAGGCTGAGTTCATTAAAAATCCATCTTTAAAATTTGTGAAAAAATCAGGCAACAATTGCAAAGGTATAGCCTCAATTCACAGAGAGATTTAAACCTCATGGAGTCTGATAGCAGAACTCTGGAGTATTGCATACAAATTTCAACCACACCTAATTTTACTTGGTTTGATCCCTCTAATCCTCCCATACCTATTTTTCCCTATACTGCCCTTAATTCTTTCTCTGAAACAACACTACTCCATAAATAATGTAAATAATGTACCTAGTGGAAATACACATTTCTCATTGCTCCTGTCATTAGACAAACAGCTAGACATTCTGCTAGGAAGCAAGAAATGGCTGGACAGGACAACCCAGGGTCAGCCAGTATTATTTTAGCAGCACAAAGGCCTGTGTTTCTGAGGATGCTTGGATAACAATCCTGACCCAAAAGAAAATACACAATTTCTAAAGAGCTTGGACCCTCCTAGGGAACCTTAAAGATTTTGCCCTTGAAGAACAACAGAAATATGGACACACAGGATGGGTCAGGTTACAGTTTATGTGTCACACTGCACAATGTCCCACACATCAACATCCCCTCTTTCCCAGTAATTTAAGTGCTAAAAATAACAGCACTTAAAAGGGGTCACTGCTTAAAGGGGTCCCCCTTAAAAGCTGAGAGGGTTGAAATAGCATTCAGAGACCAGCACCACCCCACCCTAGAGTGCCAAAGATGCAAGGTTCATTCACCAGAGCAGAAGGAATTATGTTTTAATTCATATTGAACTTACTGTAAATTAACTACTGAACCACCACAGACTGAGATGAGATACTGGAGTGGGGGACTTGAAGGATGGAGATGTTGGGGTCAATCAGTTGGAAATGAGGCACCCCCCTCTGATACATCCTTATGCTCTTATGCATACAGTCACAAACATAACTAAGAAATTGTAAGAGAGACAGTAAGACTAAAATTCCCCAACCACTAGTTGATGGGCCATCAAGAATCTAGAGGAATAGCTTTGAAGAGAGTTGACTTGGACTTTGTAACTGATAAAGGGGAAACAAGAGAACATGAATATCATGGATATTTGAGGGAGTCTGGGGGAGTATGCAAAACTTACTAAGGAATGTTTAGGGAAAGAGGGAAAAAGGGGAATCAGGGAGGAACAAAGTGAGGGGAACAGAGAGGAAGAATAAAAGGGTCCATTTGTGTATAAGCAGAAGGAGCCCGGTGCCTGATCACAGGCTATCCTATCTTACTAATATTTATTAAATATCTTGCTGTTTAATTTCACCCTCTACCCCATGTGAGACTGTTCAAAGATCTAGATGACAGCAACTGGAGAGACCAGACTAACTGAATCAAATGCCAGAAACTCGAGTTAGATCATGGGTGATAATGGCCTGTCTTTGTGGTGCCAGCAACCAACTGTGTGGGGTCTCAGCATCAGCAACAGGAGGGACCATAGGGCACATGAACCTGGGATGCCAGTAACTGGAGGGACCTGACCATTTATCTTTTCCCCTAACCTGACATCCATGGGTGCATATGTGTAATTTGCTAGAAAACTTCTGGTAGAGATGGGGTGAATCTGGTAGCTTGACAGAAGCAAGGCTGCCACAGCTCCAGGTACAACCAGTAGTGAGACTGAGAATGTATTCCCAGTAGGCACACACACAAACACAGATATACAACACAGATCAACACAGTCAGACACACTCAGCACTCACACAAACACAAACAGAACCAACAGTCTCATCCTATCCCTGCTCTGGCTGATCTGGATGAAGATCCACTAGGTACAACGTGGATTCTCCCCCTGTAGCTAGGCTAAGACAGTCAGTCTACCGAGTAGCTGGCTACTGGATCCCAGTCTCTCCAGTTGCTGGCACTTGGTCATAGAAGCCCCTGAGGCCACAGCCTCATTCCAGTTGCTGTTACAGACCTCCTAACTCACTGACACACGCACATACATACACTCACAACTTCCCAGCAGTTGGCCGGAACTCCCCTGGTCCCCTCTGGTAGCCAACTCCTGTGCTCTTGCCCTTTGAGACATACAGGCACGCACACACAGAGCTTACTGGGACACCCCTGGTCCCTGTGGTAGCCAAGTCACGTTTACCTGTGACCAGCCCTTTTTATCCCCTTATACCTCTATTCTCCCATGCTTATTCCTCCTGAAATCGCCTAGATTCATTCCTTTCCCTGTCTTTGGTTCCTCCCATAAACACCCCATAAATCTATTGCAAACCCAAAATTATCTTCTCCTGCATCCCAGGCCCCTTTGCAGCACCTCCCCCCCTGCAACAGTCCTGCTCCTGCTGACTTGATGGGTTCTACCCCTAGACCACGGGGCTGACGTCTGTCCTGGGACAGCCCTGGGAGGAGCTCAGGACAGTGTGTTCCACTTCTCAGAGAGGTGGAATTTGGGTTCTCACAATGCCATTGTGCCCCTGAGGGCCTCTGGGCTTGCAGAGATGGGCCTGTGACATGCTCCTGTGACAGGCCTGGAAGCAGCCAGGGCAGGGTTTTATTTGCCCCCTCCCGCCCCCTCCCCCCCCATTATCTTTCTGTGCTCCTCTGTGGATGTTCAGATTAGGGTTTTTTTATCAGATAACCTAACAACTTCAAGCTGTACTACCTGATTCATAGGAGGAAAACCTGGAAAGACTTCTGTCTGAGCTGGAGGTGGCTAAGGGAGCTTAGAGCACAGTCCATGGGCCAAGCTGAGAGCCTTTGCTGATAATTAAGGGATCCATGAATGTAAGAGTGCTTGCGAGACAAGTGTGTAAGTCCATGCTTCTGTTTGCCACTGAGCATTGAGCTGGACTAGCTAGCAAATAAAAGACCCATATACTGGGCAAGAGAGCTCAGGATCAGGGCATGAACAAGAGAGGGACTGAGGGCCCATGCTGATATTCAAGGGATCTGCAAATGTGCATATGCTTTTGAATCTAGAGGGTGAAGGGGTGTGTTTTCACTAGTGAACTTAACCCCAATCAGCCAGAGAGCAACAGGACCAGACTATCTATACTTATATTTTTTTGAGTTCTGGTAGCATTATATGTGAGTGTTGTTAAAGGCAGCACTCTGCCTGTTGCAGTCTGTGTAACTGGCCATGTTAGCGTCCTCTGTGTGTGTGCACGTACGTGTCTCTCTGGGACACACACTCAGCCTCACTACTGGCTGAACCTGCACATGGGGAAGCCCATAGGCTCCAGTGGCCTGGAAGGAGGAACCCCCAGACCAGGCTCTACAGTTTTGTTGGCCCCTTGAAAAAAACGTAAGGCAGGATTCTCCTTTATAGAAGTCCTACCAATTCTTCCAAGTAGAATTCTTATTCAGTTGTTCATTAATTCTTTTTTGCCACCATGTCTACCAATATGCCTGGTAAAGACCTCACACTGAAGTTTCCCAGCTTTCCCAAATCCTTTCTTAACGATTGGCTCACTGCCCAATACTCGGGTGTTAAGAAAGATTTCAGTGAGTGGTCACAAACTACTGTTGGCAGTTCAGATTTTTCATCCTCAAGTTAAAGTTACTTTAGCTGCTTTGTTGAAAATCAAGATTACAGCAAGATGAGTCATCAGGAGCATATTCCAGATTACATCTAGGACTAAGGGGGAGTTGCTGCCTAGGGGACTAAGACACATTACAGGATGCAGGGGAAGCGCGTTTTAGGATTGCACAGGACTTCTTGTGGGACGGTTAGGGGAGGAACCAAAGGTGGGAAAAGGGAAGGGTTTAGGTGACTGGAGGAGGAACAAGTGTGGGAAAAGAGATGGTAAGGGGATAAAAGGGCCAGTCGCATGTAAACAGTTTGCTTGTCAGTATACTTGTCTGGCCATGCTCTGCGCCTGTCCTATCTTCTTATTAAAGTCCTTTCTAACTCTCTGCTGGGTGAAGGCTCCCTACCCTGTGTGCACGTGTGCCTATGTGGGTCTGAGTGCAGCAACTGGAGTCAGACCACAGGTCCAAGTGCAGGTGTGCACATGAGTGTGTGATCGCTAGTGAAGATCCAGCCAGACCAGCTAGCGAATAGCTGAGGCCACCTGAGAGCCAGGGGGGAGGGGGGGGGGGGGCTGAGTGGGTCTCTAAGGGCCAGCTCTGAGTGCAATAGTGCCTGTGTGTCTCATCTTCATCTGCCTTCAAAAGAAACAAGATGCAAAGAGAGAACAAACACTCTACTGGTATTCAGCAGTAGGTTGCTTTCACATTTATCTTAATTATCACCTCAAAGTAGCAGTATTTGTTATTTAGAAAACATGTTCTCTTTATCAAAGCTGATGTATTCTCATGCATATGACTTACTTTTCAAACAAATTTTTAAAGAATTTGCCTTCTTTAAAGAAGGCAAGACTTAGTTTAATAACAAAGGAGAAATCCCTTGTGATCTTAAATTATACTTTTCAATTATTTTTAACACGACAATTGCTAACACCTACATATAAAGACAGCTGTCTTGATTCTACCTGGCTTTATGGCAAGGTTTCCCAGTGCTGTCACATAACAATAACTTAGAGGACAAATAGAGTGGGTTTTGCCTCCTTCTTTCTGCCTGCATTTAATTTCTTTACCTTACTATGAGTGTTGCCAGAGGTAACGTACAGATGAACAGCACTAAATAATGCATGGTTGGGGTAATCTTAGAGAGCTGAGTCAAACACCTTTAATACAAGGAGGAGCAACTTGTGCTCCACTCAAAGGTAGCCGGTCTGACTCTCTCAGCCAATCTCTCTCTTTATATAAATACATATAATATGTAATATAAGCAGTAACTCTGAGCCAGTTTGGCTTCTCCAAGGGAAAATTGGACCTCTTGATTGTTTATAGTATCAGTGAATGAAGAATCCAATAGAAAAAGTCAAGTAGAAGCACTCAAAATCATTTAGAAAATATGGATTGATTATAGCTCTTAATAATGTTAGCCCATCCTTACAATGTCATTTCAGAACTACATGTGAAACAGCACATTTCCTTTCCAAAGGTAGACATGTAATGATCAATCAATAGTTTCATAGATTAAACATGTTAAATATAAGGACAAACAGTTCTATTATAATGAACATCTTATTTTTCTAGGACATAAAAGTTTGTAAGCAACCATAATTCTATGCTGGAAACTGTTATAACCTCAACATTTAAAGTCTACTGTCTAAAGTTAGACACATTTATGTTTTAACTTCTGAAGAGGAACAGGCCTATTTTCAGAGCTTTTGAATGCTTGGAAACTTAAAAAACCGAGAGGGAGATGCCTATCCAAGAGCTGAATTTAGCCCAGTATATTCAATATTGTTCATTGATATAAGGGAGGAAGTAAACACCGAAGAGCTGAGTCTGTAGATGTACCTCAGTTACTTCAAAGAGCAAATACTCAGTGGTGGAAGAAAGTGGTAGGGAAGCACACTGCACTTCCAGATCAGGCAGCATGAAAGATGAAATTCACTTCTCTAAGGCCACATTATGATTGTCTCTGAACATGAGGAGTCACCCGAGGAAAGAGACAATGGAATTAGTACGGGCTGTGTGCTTTTTGAAGAGCTGACTTTGCGTTGTTGCTCATGTACACCAGCCATGCTTAAAATAGTGAAATGAACTTATTGAGTGTATCAAAAAGGAGATGGGAAGCAGCAAGATAATATTTTGCCACCACATGCTATATGCTTCAATGGGATATTGGAATATACTTGGCAGATTTTTAAATATCATGAAAGGAGACAGAAAGAGACTTAGCGATTATTTGACTGGTGTGTGTAACATAATACAAAAAAAAAAGGATAATACAAAAAAGGAAAAATAGTGATTGGTTCTGTGCTTTAGATTGTAGCGTAAGAAAATTCTTAAAATGCAGTGTACTTAGAAAGAATGGTTCGTAACTATAGATTTTCTAGCTAGCAAGAACTTCAATTTGTTACCCCGAGTGATTAGTTTTCGGGGGGAATTTTTGGTTTTTTTTTTTTTTTTTTTTTTTTTAAATTTGGTGTTTGTTCGGGTTGTTTTTTTTTTTAACAGCTATCTTATCAACTGCTAAAACCTGGAGAGAAACAAGTGCGCTCCAGACAATTACAGAGGAAGTGGGTGGTTGGAAGTGACACAAGGAGCTGGGGGCCTTCATGCAAGCAGGCACTATTTTTAAACCCTGATGTGGAATGTTTGTTCTGCCCAGAGAAAATCCATTCCCCCCATACTGTACCATGTCCACTCACTTTAAATTGAAAGACTTCAAACACAATCCATCTACTCTTTCTAGTGTCTGCTGTAGGACTGGGTACATAACTTCTTCATGGGAAGCATGTTAGATCCCAGAGACCCTGTAAAACATTTTTTCTTCCCGTAAGAATTTCCCTCCCAGTTGCTTTCTACCAGCAGTAGCACAAATACTGTCTCCAACACATACTCACGACTAATATTTTAATCTCCACATTAAAAGCATAACTCACCATGGCTTTTTCTCCCCACTCAGCTAACAAAAGTGACAAAGCATTGGTGTTGATCCCAGTAACAGGATATTTTTTAAATGGGGGAAGGCAAAAGGAGAAAAAAAAATTAGCTCAGTTTCCACTGTGTCCCTACACCTGCTGAGATGGGGACTGTCTCTGTGCCACCTTGTCTAGGGTCAAAAGACTGCCGGGTGAATCAGCCTGCCTTCTCCAGGACTCAGGGTGCAGTCAGAGGGCACAACAGCTACCATGTGTATGTTAAGCACGCCTTCCCACCTTATGTTTCGGTTTTATTTTTACCTCACTTGTGAGGGGTATTTCTGTTTCTTCCTCGCGGGTTGAAGACCAGGGACACTAAGGAAGCGTGTCTCAGCCAAACGGCAGCATGGCCTGAGTGTATTTGGGAGTTATTGCTGAACATTTTGCTTTAGGGATAGTTCTGATGTTTAACGAGCGCAAGTGTCCACTCATGAGCTTGATCTTTTCCTCATTTACCCCTGCTTAGGCTTGTATAGTTATAATACGAATGCAGGCCTTTCAGTTTTTCTGAGATCAGAGTTCTCTGGCAGCATCCAGAAAAGGCTTTTAGGACTATCACTAATATAATAGAAAAGGATTTGTCTGCAGTGTCTATTTAATGTCTCATTTCCTAGCTGCACACAGCTCTATAGACATCTCCTCTGACTGTTAATCCATCACTACTTTTTTATGTTGCAGGTGCTCTGCCGGTACCAGCACATCTGGAACATTGATCTGCGCTTTCGTCCAGCTTTCCTTGGTGGCATAATGCAAGCAACTGGTAGGCAATAGGGAGAGATTAGCTTTGTAGGGGAATACCTTCTTCACTAGTAGGACACTAGTGGGCAACCTCTTAGTGAGTGCAGAGCCCACAGAGCCAGGTTTAAACTAAGTTTTGGCACCAATAACAAATTAACTATAGGATTGTGGAGCTCATTAGTGACTGAGAAATCAGCCACAAGGAATTTCATACTGTGCAACTACACAGCCACTGTTTGTGGCACATACAGTGCCAAAGTTCGTCAGTTCTAAAATAGGATAATAATAATTTGATATGGAATGTTTTCCTAAAAGTTTTCTGTTGAGCTCAAACCAGAATCAATTTGTGGAACACTTGCAGTTTATAATATGCATGAAGGATCCAAGTATGCTGTAAAATAGTACTTGTAGCCTTATTAGAACAAGTTAATCACTGAGACTTACAACTCATAAATCATGAAATTAATAAGTTTCTACATTTGTTTACCCATGCATTAGTAGTTATTTAGCTTAAAAGTCACTGTCTGAATCAATACAAATCCCTGCTAGGACATTTGTACCTTGGTTTAAAACTGATTCTGCTAACTTAAAGGGTTGATCTGTGCAAAACCAAAATAAATCATGTTTAAATCCTAGCATTATCTTTGGAAAAGCTGTGTATGTTTCAGTAAGCCAATATGAAATTATACTCTTCCTTAGGCACATATACGGATGAGGTCTAATTTGTCCAGTTCTGTTTTGTCCAGTGTTACTATAATACAGTTGAAAATCTCAACAGAAATTTTTCTCAAAGGTAACAAGCCCCCAGCAATGTTGCCAAAGCGTGCAGAATACATGCTGAAGGATATAAAAAGGATGGCAAAATACTACCAAGTGCCTGTACGAATTTCAGAAGATGATTTCCAACGGGTCCTTGGTACAGGTAAGTAAGAAACTTAGTTTAGCTGGTATCTTTCAACTCTAGCACTTCTGGTTTAAGTTCTCCCTAACAGTAAAGATGAAGATGAATTCCCTGTCCACAGCCTCTTCCTGTATCTGTGAGCAATATGAAGTATGTGCATTTTAACCATAAAAGGAACTTTTATGAGTTTTATGAGGAGAAATATGCTTGTGAATGATATTAGCATGGAAGATGCTGTGAATCAATGTAAGCTTTACTGTTTGGGGACAGTTACAGAGAAGATCATACTGTTCTTAGGTAGCACTTGCGCAGACTGTATCTGTCCCTGATCCTGTGCCTCGTTTCAGTATGTTTCTCTGTCTCCCCACTAATCCCAGGCACTCTTGGGGCCATGCGCTTTATCACAGCCACTGATATGACACAACCACAATACTTGGAACCCTTATCTAGGGAGTTCTGGATACATTTTTGGTCACAGGTCAGTATTTTATGAAGCCAACTTCTTGATCCTTTCTCTGTCACCCTTCCTGTCCCACTTCGTTCAAATGGGGAATTCAAGCAAGAGAAAGGAATTGTCTTCTAACGAAAAGTCATAGCAGGAAACTTAAGGTCATAGTGGTTGAGGAGCCATTACAAGAAAAGAACTAGCTTACAGTCAGCTTAATTTGCCTTCTTTTAGGTATGTATGGCGAGTCCTATGGGCTGAGTGGATCAGTAGTTCATATCAGAAAGCACTTAATACGTTCCTAGATTAGGTGACTTAAAACTTTTTCTGAGGAAATTTCTCTAGCAACTAGTATTGTTTTTATTTCTATTTCTATTTTCAAGTCCAGAGCTGAGCTTTTGTTCTTAAGTACTGAATTACTTATTTTATTCTTTTACCAGCATGAAGATATCAGTCAACCGGAGAATATATTGGCTGTAAGTGTCTCCTTTTTGTTGGTGCTTCTGCATTTCTGATACAGATTCTTACTGATGGTTTGGATCAGTCATAGACATGAAGACAGCTTAGTCAAATGATCACTTGAAGTTTTGAAAAATTTCAGCTAGAAAAAAGTGGATTTAATTTCCCTAGCAGCTCTGTTTGGAATGATTTTTTTTTTTTTTTGGTCATGCTTTGAATGACACTCAGAACCAGAATCTCCTTTTTTGTTAATTCTTGTGGCGAGATACCCAGGATGGACAATGAATTATCTGTTGATACTGTTTTATTAACAGTAGTGAAAGTATGAACAGTGTCTCCAGAATGCATTGAGGTTTTGCTGTTAAATGAAAACTTCAGGTGAAATGCAACACTTTGGGAAAGATTACTTTCCTTGGAGTGATGGAGCCAGGCTTTACTATTAAGTTCGGTGCCTTATTGCCCTTCTACATGCTTAGAAATTGTACTCTTTTGATTGATGTATTTTCTTTTGCTGTTTAGATTTTGTTTATTACAGTAAAAGCTGTAATGGCATGTAAGTTAGTATACCATGAAATCCTCTTTAAGGGCTCTCACTTCTACATTATTTTATTTTTTAAGTTCTTGGACTATGAAGAAAAGAGAGGAATTGTCCATGACTAGTCTCTCCTATCCAACATCCCTATCTGAAACCTGAAACTTGCAGTCTTGCTCCTTCCCCAGAGTCTAGTCCTTGCACTTCAGCTTCATTTTAGCGTACCTTTTTTACCAGAATTTCAGCAAAGGTTTGCATTTTGCCTTTTCAAGAGGCAAGATTTGAAGGATATAATTAAACTGTGGTGTGTTAACCCTTAAACCCTTAGGCAGCTAAGCACCAGAGAGGCACTTGCTCACTTCCCCCCACTGCCCAGTGGGACAGGGGAAGGGGAAAAGAAGAAGAAAAGCAAGAAAACTTGTGGGTCAAGACAAAATTGCTTAATAAGCAAAGGAGAAGTGGAAGAAGAGAGAAAGAAAACAAAACAAGTGATGCAAAGGCAGTCACTCACCACCTCCCATGGGTAGACTGATGCCCAGCTGGTTCCCAAGCAAAAGGTGGCTAACCTCCCTAAACCCCCTCCTCACTTATTATTGCTGAGCATGATGTTATATGGTATGGAATATCTCCTTGGTTAGTTCGGGTTATCTGCCTTGTTGTGTCCTCTCCCAACCTCTTGCGCACCCCCAATCTATTCATGGGGTGGGGGGGGAGGGGGGAAATGAGAAACAGAAGGCCGACACTGTGCAAACACCGTTCAACAATAGCTAAAACAGTGTGTTATCAGCATTCTTCTCGACACAGATCTAAAACACAGAACCATAAGAGCTGCTGTGAAGAAAATTAACTCCATCCTAGCCAGACCCAGTACATAAATATATACAGAAAGTCCTCGTATAGTCTCTGGATCCATCATTATTTAAATAAAGATAAAGCAAGGACATGCAGAACTTCAGAGAAACAAAGTTCATACTCAAAAAGATCTCTGTGTAATTTAGTCACCGTTTGGTGGTCTGTGAGTATCCCCCTATGTTCAGCGAGGCAGAGAGGTAGGCATCTCCTTCTGTGCTTGTGTCTGTCTTCATTCACCCCTGCAGCAAGTACTAGACTTCCCTCTCTTCCAGAAATACGCCATCCAAAAGTGGGTGAGGGGTCCCAACACTTTCATCTGAGTCTTTATAGGTGAATTTATTTTACACATCAATTAGAAAAATGGAATGTTGTTTACTTGATACAGTTCCTTAGTATTTTTTTACTTCTTTTGTTAGTCAGCAGTAACTTCACATAAATTACTATAGAAGCAATGTACATAGTCTTTGAATCCTGCCCCAGTCCACTGAAATACCCCTTCTGCCCTAACATGGCGAGGACCAGATACTACGTCTCTGTGTAAATATTGCAGTCTAAACACTGTGGCTACCAAGCATACACAGCATTTTGTTCTACTGCAGTCCTACGCTTGTTTATCTCCTGTTCAAGTAGAGTCAAAAAGAGCTCCTAATCTCCCTGATGAGGAAGTAGGAGAATGTACAAGAAAATGTGGATGCTAAACTTAAAAGTGATTGAGAGAAAGAATTAACACCTGCATGTGCAGGATTACTGGTCCGTGTGCAATACCGTAAGCATTTTTAATTTTTTTTTTTTTAAAGGGAAAAAAAAAAGGCATGTCATTTAGGTAGATGGCATAGAAGTTAACATTTCTTGTGAAATACTTTATTAAAATAGGTACTTGTAACTTCAATGTTACCCGATAAACATTGGACCTTTGGCCACTTTGTCTCATTCCTGTGTGGCAGAGGCACAGAGGAGGCTAAAAAGATACAGCAGTAACACTAGCAACTGTTTAACCTCTGTGAGTTACAGACTCTTTCATGCAGTATCACTTACAGATCCTATGTGGCCGCATTTGTCATACAAACTGGTTTTGTCTTGGCAGGCTTGCACAGTAAGACTTTCAGAACAACAATTTTTTTTTTTTTTTTTTTTTTTTGGTAAGTTATCAGATAAGTCATTGGACCAGAGGTTAAACTTAGTATTAATCTTTTTTTTTTCCTTTTTTTTTTTTCCTGTTTAGGAAGTCCTGAAAAAAAGTGCAGATTTGGGGCTTGGAAATTTAAAATATCCCTTCTACTTTGTATCTGAGAGTTGATAAACGATGAATGGGTTGGGAATACAGCAAGACAGTTGTGCAACAAGTGTTTTAAGGGTATTTTGTAATTATTTTGGTAATAGACCTTGGGTGATAATACTGAAGATTAAATTAATTAGACCATAGTAGGAATTAGAATATTTAGTATTAGAGTACTCTTAATTATATCATCTTTTCTCAGGTTGCCAGACAGGCTGGGCTATCATCAGAGCTTGCCCAGAAGCTACTTGAAATGATTTCATCCCCTGCAGTGAAGAACCGACTGAGAGAGACAACAGAGGAAGCAATAAAATATGGGGTGAGATGCTTCCAATGCCATTTGGCATCACAGCTATGCATTCCTTCCCTATTAAGAATACTGGGAAGCAAGGAACAATGAAGGTGGTGATTAGAAAGCACTATATAGACCATCTCTCTTAGGTGATCTTTGCTTTTTGAACATGTGAAAGCTAACTCACTGTTGTTGATAGTTTATCTCATTGTCATCTGGGAAACCAAGGTTGACCCATTCAGCTCATTCCAGCTGGACAGCAAGGATGGGGAGCTACAGGACCAGTACTAAGAGATACCATTTATCACTACTTGACATAAAACTCTGGATTTATCAGGTTGCTTTTTTTGCTCCTTCAAAATGGGCACACAGGCTCTGGAGAATCCCCTACTTTCTGATGGCTCCATTAGACTCATCTTTAAGAACGAAGAAGGTGAAAAGAAGGGGAGGAAAAATGTCAAAGTTTTTGCTTTTTATTCCTGAAGATTGATCATGTGTCTGAAAAAATTTCTCTCATTGTAACATTCTCTGTTTCATCTCCATGGCGTCAATAGGCATTTGGGATGCCTGCTGTTGTGGCACATTTTAATGCAGAACCTCATCTCTTCTTTGGCTCTGATCGTTTAGAGCTGCTAGGCAGTGTTATAGGTGAGTGTACCTAATAACATCACTTTTGGTTTCATGCTTTCACCCTCTTTTAATGAAATATATAATAAAGCTAAATAAAACACTCTTAAGGATGTTGGGTATCCTTCTCATGGGATGAAACTGCTGACTGGAATGTATCTCAGTACAGTTAGAGTGACCAAAGATGTAGTCCTTTTCCAAAGAAGAAGTAACTTGAGTTCTCCATCCTCTCTTAGTATGTTTCAAGGCTTTGTGCTCCACGTGCCATTCTCAATTAGTACTGAAACTCTTTAGTTTTCAAAATGTTCATGTCTAACCTTTTGGTACTGGACATTAGGTCTTGGCTAAGATTAAGACTATGTCTGATAGCGTTTTTTTGGGTGTTTTTTTTTTTTGTAGTTTTAACATTTTCATTTTGTATCTGTCCCCTAATAAAAAAGCACATTATCACAGCTCCCCAATCCATAACTTGTAATTACCTAACTACACAACTTTTTAACAGAAATTCATATATTGACCATCCTTCTTTTCATTTTTCTATTAATAGAATACAAACTTGAAATTTTTAAAGAGAATTGGACTAGGTTGTGATAACTAATAAAACTCAGTCACCTGCTTTTACATGAGTTAGAGGGCATTTGACTATTGATCTCAAGATTTGGCACTTGAGAGAGTTTGTCACTAGAAAGAGTTATGCACATAATTAGCTCTGATGCATTTGTTGAAAAATTTCAGCAGAAACTCAATGTAAATTAAAATTAGTCATAGGCTTAAACAGAAAGGAATTTTTTTGAAGTTTATTTTCTTTTCTGGATGGGTTTCTGATTCTGTAAAAATAATCTTGATGAAAATGAGAGTTGGGAAGATGAATACCCAACAGCCACTACGATAGTCACTAATCCTAATTGGAATGTTACAGCCTGGTTTCTAGCCTCAACTCCAATGATTTCAACAGATTTTTCCTTTTGTTTCTCTGACTCCCCAGCCTTCCACCCTTTTTCTCTTCTTTACCCCCAGCCCCTCAAAAAAGGAGTCTTAAAAAGAATTGGCTTCACCCTCATGTGATGAGTGCCACAGACCTGCAGAATCTCTCATCTGTGACAGAGGAAAATAATTCTTCTGTACAGCTTCAGTTGTGACTAGACAGTGAAGGATTTATGGAGCTGGCTGAAGCATGCCAAACAAGATACAAATCTGTATTCCGTCATCAGTAGTTACCCTTCAAAAGAGGAGTAGGAACAGTCATCCTACTGCAGAAATGTGACTGGCCAATCACTTCTATGTATTAAATTTTAACTTTCTCTTTTGTGCTGGTCTTGCAGGTGAAAAATGGCTGGGACCAGTTCCAAGCCCCAAGATGTGAGAAGTCCCGGGGAAATACATAAGAGTGAAAATATATATGTACGTGGTCAATCTTCAGTGATGATCTGAATGTATCCAATTTTATGGAGAGATGGCTTTCTTGTCTTTAACAGCTAACTTTGCAGCTCAGTCTCATCTCTAATTACGAAGAAGTTCAAGGTTTGCCAGTATTACCAGTCCGGTGAGGCCTTTACTAATACAAATGTGCTTCTTCTCTTTCAACAGATTGATGATTAACATTAAAGATTAAACATTAAATATTTAACTTCTTGCAGACTAAACATTCTTTTTTCCTGATTAGTTCTCTTTCTTTTACCCTAAAAGCAAGAGGATTAAATTGTTGTTATGGGACTGCAATCTCTGGATTTCTCATATCTTCCTGCTTGTCCTTTAGAAACACACACACACAGAGCTTAAGAGAAGCTGGCCACATTCTCTTTTTATTTTAAGTCCAAGATACTACATAGACACTAGAAGCACAGGACAAGGTATTCACGCTCCCTTTTACTCTGCAGCATGGCAATTCGAGGGGACACGAGAGAGAAGTGTGGAAGAGAGAGGAGCAATTCAAGTCCAAAGAAAAATCTGGGGAACCAATCAAGTATTTCAAAAGGAACTGTCCCGCTCCTGGACGGTATTTTATACACCTTGCTCTGCAGTGACTGACATTTGAGGAGACCACCACACACATGCATTCTCGGGCACCAACCCCAGACCTTGCAGGGGTTTTTAATTAATGCTAGTTTTACAGTAACGTCTTTGGAGGACAATGGTGAATATTATGTAAGTGTAGTTGGTAACTGAACCAGACTGTGTTATACTTCCTCAAGGATGGCCTAATTGGTGCCTATCCAAAGGTGATTTGGATATGGCTATGAGGGACTTCCTGTCATATAGTCTGCAGAGAGAAAGATATGCAAACAATAAAATTAAAACCAAAACGCTTCATTTTTCACTCTCATCTCCGATTATAGTAGTTAGAAATCTCACACTGAAATAGTTGGAACCTGGCCCTGTATTGGCTGAATTGGAATAACACACTCAAATTAATTTGAGGCTTGATTTCTCAATGATTCCTGGCTGTCTGATGCATCACTGAAGGAAGCAGAAGAACTAGCAGCAACTGGAATTCCATTTTTTGTCTCTTTCTGAACTTTAGGGTAAAGCATATTCATGCTTGTTTACTTGAACAGCAAATCCTGGAACAAAGCACCAGAAAAAAAAAAGTCTGTATCCTTCATGTTCTTGCAGCTGTAAGTCTTGTGGGAGTATCATTTGTTCCCCCATCCACAAGTTTTCCTTCTTACACCTCTCTCAGCTCTTCAGGAAATATCCTATAATTTGAGAACTCCTTCCTCCTTTCCACCAGTGCACCCATTAGTCTGTGGGCAAATCCAGCCTAGAATTTAAGGAAATCTTTGTGAGATGTAAGAGGCTACATTCATTTAGGAGTTAGAATGACAGGGAAGTTATCATGTACCGTGGATGCCATAGGTTTCATTGAGTTCCTTGAAGCCATATTGAAGAAATTTTTTACCATTTCCCCCCTGAAATTTGCTAGTCTCCAATTTGTGCTATCAAACTGATTCTGAGGTTGTGATAAAAATGGAATGACTGAAACATCACTTTAAGCCAGATCACCCCAGTGACCTGGGGCCACTGCCGTAGGCAGTGGTCTCAGAAATGGGTAAAATGGGAGGCAATGAACTGTGGCGGGGAGAACGCAAGGAACACCTTGAAATAATCTCATGGTGAAAGCCAGGGTCTCGTGCAACTTTGTCCTTTGAACCAGCTTGACTAATAAAAAAAAAAACCAACCAAAAAACAGTCTTTGTGACAGAACGTTGTTGATTTGGCAGATGGACCAAATGAGATGGGTCTTACGGATTGCTATGTATTTCCCAAAATTATCTTAAAGGCCCTTAGACCCTACTTGAAATCTGTGGAAATGAAATGCTCAAAGCCTTAAGTACTAAAATAGTACTTAAACACTACTGAGATAAGGAAAATCCAAACTCAGGATTTTCTTTACATTGCTTATTGCCTGTGATAACCACTAGTAAGTGGTTACAGCCTTTGCATTTATGTCAGTGAGTATGCATATTGTTGCAATTCTGACTGTATACCTACGTCGAGCAAGTGTTGCCTGTTTGGGAGCAGAGCTTTGAGGAAGTTCTACCTCTTGTTTAGACAACCTTACTCCTGCATTACAGAGACCTGATCGTAAGCACAAGCTTACACTCTGGTGACTACCCCCAGTAAATACTGTCTGACAGCTATACTGTCATTCTCAGTACTTATCTTTGGCAAAGCATGCATGTAAGTAGTCTCAGCGCTGAGTACCAGCTTCTTTACCTGGCTTCCCTTTCTGATCTTCTGTCTGTAAATGTCAGTCTGCTGCAACACCAATGGCCACCACTGCCTGGAGCTGAACTGTTTATCTGACCACTCTGAATGCCACCAGGTTGCAGGGCAGCTAAAAGTTGAGCGTTACTTGAAAAAACACTGAAGATCTAAATTTTTGTGTCTTTTTACCAGGCACGGGGGTAGATGCTAAGGCAGTAATAAGAACTGCCAGCTATTTAGGAATAGCTGGAAGAATTTGCTTCCATAAAGATGGTACCTCTTTTACTTAGCTATATACCAAACTAGTTCCTGAGAGCCTCACATCCACATCACTTCCAAGGCAGCATGCTGTTTAGCTGTCAAGCCAGAGAAGATACTGACCAAGGAAAGGGACTTTGAGCTGAAAGAGTGACTCTCAGTGATGCAGGCAAAACTGGACGATGAACTCTACAGAACAAATTTGGAGTTGTGCTCCCCTTTGCTCTATTACAGACCTCACCAGGAGATCCAGTCCCACTTCCCATGTCTGGAAAAGCTGTGAAACTGGCATGGAGAAGTAGGTCCCACCAATGCTAGGCTGAAAGCAAACAAGCAAGCGTAGAGATAGGCACAAAGTCACAAAATGAGCAAAAGAAAGTGGTTCAGTAAAATAATGAAAGCATAGGAAGCAGAGGATAGGTGCAGAGAAAGCTAGGTGGCATCTGAGCAAAGGAAACCAAACAATAAAAGAAAAAGAAGATAATAAAACTGAGCATAGGTTAGGGCAGAGAGAGGTGTCTCAATGGGAAATGCTGTTCCCTGAGAGGGAGCAGGCAACCAAGAAAGGCAGAGCTTAGGTAGATTAAACAGACCAGAGGCAGCTAGCCATGGACGATCATTTGGGAAAGAAGGTATAGGATTAACTCTGTTTACTGTGAAGCTGTACAGTACTTGCTGCACTCTTTCAGTGGAGCCGGGGATGGCCCAGGGGCCTGCCTCCACCCTGAACCACCAGCCTGTGGTGCTGCTTCATGCCCGTTGCCTGTGCTACTCACCCAGTGTGCACCGAGACAGTCCTCCAGCGGTGACCTCACACGCAGCACAAAATGGAGGCCTGCAGAACAAGGCAGTTCTTTAACCTTCCCCTGCAAGCACCTTCTTACTGTCCTTTCAACCCTCAGCAAGCAAAGCCTCCTAAATTAAGTCTCTCTCTTTTCTCCCATCCTTATCTCTGTGCAAGTGAGAAGGAAATGTTTTATTAAAGCACTTACTGGATTATGGTGCTGAGCATCTGCTTTGCTGCCTTTTCCAGTGGAGCCAGCAACACTGCTGGAAGGAAGCAACCTGCTTCCTAGAAAGGAACCAAGCACAGAACAATAAAGAAATAATCAAGATGGTATCCCAGGAGCTGCACACATAGCTGTTTTATCCCAAACTTTTCACAGGTGTGTGGCTCATCCACAGGTAAGAGTGAAAGGAATGTATCTACAGCCAACTTGGCTAATGTTACCTTGACCTACTTCTCATTCCAGCTTGAAACACAAGGAAAGTGACTACTTGGCTTTCGTTTCATTCAAAAAAATCATTGGCCACTGGTTCCAGACTGTGTTTCAATGCCACAGCTGTTCTGGCTATAGCTTCTTGCCTAAAGAAGCTATGTCTATAGCTATCTAATGAGTAATTAAGGCACTCTCCAACTTTCCCAAATGTTTCCATCAGTCCCGTATTCAATTTCTGTATCAGTCCACTGTTATACACAAAAAATAGTTTAAAATAATACAGCAGGTTCCAGTAGGTGACAGCATCATGCAGTCAAGCTAAGAAATGTCATTACTGAATACATCTGTGCAACCCGAATGCCTTATCCTTAAGAATATACTTTGTGAAGCAGAATCTAATCTTATGCTCTCACAGCGTTTCCCTTCCTTCTCCCTCCGCCCCCTCCCTTAAGATTCCCACCTCTGACCTCAGGGTTTAAGGAATTTGCCGATCATCACATATCAACACCATGGCAAAAACAGGAATGAAATACTTTGCAAAATTCACAAACTTAAAACATTGTTTTGCTTTCTGTAATCATCTTACATTCACCATACACATTTCACAAGAAATAAGTATGATGTCTTTAACGTAACAACCCTCTTTCTTACACCATTGAATTTGGTGTAATGGTGACCCTCCATCCTATGCACAAAGGATGGTTTAAAATTATCAAATATTGTAATTTCATAAATACTATAGTTTCTGGGAGCTTATGCATAGCTGTATTGCAACAGTAAATCTGTATTATAACTCTTCTATTTGAATCAGAGGAAAATGGAAAGAGTTTGAATTACAGAGTTGGTGTCAGTGCAGTATGTGCTAAGGGGGCAGAAGGAGCAGACGAATGACTTTGATGGCATACCTATCCACCATTCAGTCAGGAAAGTTAAGAAAGCTGTAAAATTCAGCTAATGAGGGATTCCTGCAATAAGATGGTAAGCCAAGATGTTCTTCACAGGAACATTTTCTTCTTTTTGAACTATACATGATCATACCAATAACTTCTAGGTAACAGATGACATGCAACAGTGTTTCAGCATTTTTCAAAGGCAGACTACCCCCTTTTCCAGTTTCATGATGTAATTTAAAACTCTGAGGTTTAAAAACAAAACTGGTAAATCACTGCCATTTGTTGCTAAACTGTGGCTTTAAACAACATGAATTTGCAGTACCAGGGTTCTTCTCCATTTTGTATATATCTCAGCTCCAGTATTTTGAAATTTAATTACGATGTATGTTTGTAGGTAGCGACTAATAGACCGAGTAACTGAACAAAAACACATCTAAAACAACTATGCATATTAACTAACCTAGAAGTGTCTTAAAGAAAGTGTTAAGGAGGGTTATAGCCGAATTTATATCCGGACCTTGAGGCTAGGGGGAAACAGCAGTTTTGGCAATGGCAGTTCTCTATGTCTTTATCTAGCTCT